TTACAAGCAGAGAATTTCCTATAGGAATTGCCAGCAAGGGTGCTGTCACTGCAGCCCTAATGTTCATCCAGGTGAGCATCAAGTGTGGGCAATCTGCAACAGAATCACCTGCGTACTTCTTAAATGTGTATTACTGTGACTCTGATGCAGTGAACTTGGATCTCACCGATTTCTGTCTGAGGCTCAGTTTCAAACCCCACTTGAGATACAGGCAGTCGGTAAGCACTGTCACCCGCAGAACCCTTACACACTCACAGGGGAGATGAGAAATGGCAGCCTGGCATGCCTGAAAAGAAGGTGCAGAGCACTTTAAGGCTCCATTGTGTAGGAGACAAGCTGAAGTCCATGGAAACAAGAAAGAAAACCAAAAGAAATGATATGATGTCTGGGATGTCCTTCAAACTAATTCACTGTGGGGAGCTGGGTAGAGATGAAACAAGATTGGGCCATGACTCAGTTGTTTAAGCTGTGTGATGGATAAAAGGAGGCTGGCTCAGTACAGTAGTTTCTCTATTTTTATAAATTTCAAATTGTCCATACACACACACACACACACAAAAGAAGGGGAAAATAGAAAAGAAACCCTAGAGAAAAATAAAAATGCTCTTAACTTCAGGGAGAGGGTTTTATGCCTATAATGTAGTTACTTTAACAGTACTTCACACAAACATCCATGTATTTGTTTTCAGGTAACTACAAACTATTTTTTTTACCTAGGAAAGAAAAAAGTGGTATTGTTACGTTGACTCAGTCTGTGTTGATTGAGGCTAACCTACCTCCCCAGTCTGTCTTTTTTTTTTTTAAAACCTAACTGCCAGTAGGTGCCAACCAGCCTCTTTTCCATCTTGCCCTAGGCTCAATTATGTCCCTGTTATTATGAGAAAAAATCACCTGTCATCAAGTGTGGACATCAGCCTGGGTTGCCATCTTATGCCCTTACCTAAATATCAGAGATAAGAGAGGTGATGTCCTGTCTGCACTCTTTCAGGAAAGTGTAAATGGAGTGCTAAACTCAGGACAGACAGCAACAGGACCTGCGGAAAGACAGCCTCTGGCCTCCCCAGTGGCCATAAAGCACACCTCTCCATCCACAGACTAAGTCACAACACAATAGAAAATTGGTCATTTAAACCCCTCATCTTTGAGTGACTCAGTTCAATCTTCAGGACAGCCCAATGCATTCATTTTGGGGGCAAATATTTACTGAGCAGTGTGCAGGAGCTAAATCCAGGATAGGGCAAAAGTAGGTCTACAGTTGTGAGCATGCCAAATGGAGTTTATTCTTGCATAATTATTTATTAATTATTATTTTCCATAGGAACAACTGTAAATGTACTTTTGCCCCATCCTGTATATGTCAGTCAGCCATGCCAGTATCCTCTGGGAATTTACACTCTAATGAAAGCCAACATATAATACATGCTTTCACATGGTGATAGGTAGAGTGTCTGGAGAAGAAAAGGGTGGGCTACTTTGATATTGTATAACAAGCTGAAGAGAAGTTAGGGATAGCATCCCAAAGGAAATGTTATTTTCCAAAAACACTGTTGACACCCACAAGGATACCATATAGGTTTGTTTTTTTAATTTCCAAGAAATTAAGGCACTTAATGTTTTCATTTTTAAAGGCTCCCAATATGTTCAGGGACTAATACAGAAACCCTAATTAGTTAACTTACACCAATTAAGTTCATCTAAATATAATTTTGTGAACTCTAGAATTTCACAAATCACCTGAAAAGAAAGGTATTCTCTTCTGAGTTCAGTCATTTGAAATAAGTCAAATGTATTATCAATCTTTTTCCACCAAAATCAACTGTACAATCAACTAATGTTACAAATTAGAAGAAAACAAGGCAATACAAGTATGAGGATGAAGATGAAAAACAGGCTGACCTCTGAAAGATAACTGAAATCTTATCCTAAAATGTGCCTACTTATTAATTGGAAGAGGGAATGATATATCAGCTAAACCTCAAATAATCTCACTTCCATATAAATCAATAAATCCAACCTTTCCCACAGCTATAACCATTGGGCAATCTTGCCATGAGGAAACTGGCCAAAATAAAGGACAAGAGGAAAAAAGATCGAGACCTTAGGTTAGCAATTTTAAATCTGGGGACTTGAGAATCCAAGAGAAGCTGTGGATACTTTCCCTAGAAAGTGGGCATATATACTATTTTGCATACAATTTCAGGGGAACTATGACCCCCTGAAGCCCATTAAAGTACTGGATTAAAAACCCCTGACCTAGATAAATATCAAATTAGGAAATCAGGTCTCAGACTACCAGCAGTTGAAAGGGCTGTAAGAAGCATACAGTAATTTTCAATACATTATCTAATTAAATTGCAACCCCTACAACAACCTTGGGAAGTAGGTACAGTGGGGCCTTGACTTACGAGTTTAATTCGTTTGGAGACCGAGCTTGTTAAGGAGCTCGTTAAGGAGCTCATTAACTCAAATTACTCTATCAAATCGGCCGAGACACAACTGGTATCTCAAAAAACTCCTTAGTTGGGACACTCGTAAGTCAAGGCCCCACTGTATTATCTCCTTTTACAAAGAGGGAAAGCTAGAATCTGAGAGGTGAAAGAACTAATTCAAGGTTAAGCATCCTCCTCTCACACCCAGATTTCTAATTCGTAGGTCCTCAATCATGAACTAGAGGAGAATTCAAGAACTCCACTCCATATTTCAGGACATCTTCCAAGATGGAGAGTCTGACTTTTAGTACAGTCAAACCTCGGTTCTTGAACGTCTCCCATCTGGAACAATTCAGTTCTTGACCAAGTTGTTCACAGAAAAAAAAAAAAAAAGGTCTCGGTTGTCAACCAAATCTTCAGTTTTCAACCTGACAACCTTTTCACGCTGATATCTCAGTAAGACAAAAAAGCTTCTCTCAGGTAACAAAGGAAAGAATGCTTTTGCTGCTGGTTAAGTTGAGGATTAGCACAATTTTAAAACATAAGGAAGCCATCAAGAGTGCTAATGTTGTAAGGGTGTGAAAGTGCTCACAAAACAGCAATCACAGGCAATTGAATAAGTAGAAAAACTGGTGTTGATTGGATAAAGGAAAAGCAGTTAGCCAGTGATAGCATTTCAGAGGCAGTGATATATGAAAATTCCCTTAAGGCTAGTAGGGGGTGGTTCGCTAAATTTAAGAAGTGTTTATTTATAAATTAAACAGCGCATTAGACAGGTATTGCATATAAGACAGATTAAAGCAATAGGAATCATTTGGGGGTCTGGAATGGGTTTAATTCAATTTACAGTCTTTCTAATGGGGAAAAATGATTCAGTTTTCAAACAAATCGCTTCTTTAACAGCCTTCCATTAAGTTCCAGAAACGAGGTTCCACTATACTTCATACAATCAAGTTATCTACACATTTCTTCTCAATTTAACCTCATTGACGAGGAATTTCGTATGGATGTAATTCCAAAACACCGTTTCTTGGTAGGAAATAATGTAACCAAAGACAAAGGATAATTGTCTAATAATTTTTGATAATTTTTAAATGTATTTTCATTTCTTAAGCAGCCTGATATAAGCTTTGTTAAAAAAACAAAAACAAAGGCCCACTGGATGAGTGCTGAACCTTCTGATGATTGGATTTTTAAACTGTCCCAGATGAATCAAGATCTGACTGAATTAAAAACTTCAGTCTCTACTCCAAACAGGCAGGCAGAGTTTCAGATGAGCTAGCCACTTCGGCATCCCCTGAATGGTTAGAGCGGTTTAAAAAAATGGCACCCCTAACAGTCCCGACTAATTTGATTGGTGAGAATCACATACAACCAAATCTATTACTCCTCTGCACATCAAGATGGTAGTTCAGAGGTCTTAGATCTTCATGGTCAAACCTGATAATGACTATGTCCCAGCAGAAAATAACAAACACAACAGAAACTGCGTCCAGGTTACTAAATTAAGTGGGTCTCAGTCCAGACCCAGTTGCCCAGTGAAACATTTACACACGTACTCACCCTCTATAGAGAAATTACCAATAATTAGCATGCTGTTTTCACATAGATTTAGAAACCCTTTATGGGAAATGTATCCACACCCAGAGAATGAAAACTAAGAACAAGTGTAGGTCAGGTCCTCTAAAGCTCCACTCCGACTGCTTCCTATGAGAGTTGCCACCTAGTGATTTTAATTTTTTAAGCCCAGGCAAGCTGCCAATTCAACACTAAAACCGGACTAACAACTGACTTTTCCTATTGCAACATCACCAGCAAGTCCTGTGCTTTCCCCCTCTTTTTCCTTTGCTTGCAAACAGCAATTCTCATTTTCAAAATCAACTAATTTGCTCTATAATCTGTTCCAATAGGAAGTTCTCAGAGAGCTGCCAATGGAATCACTCTTCCTCCTAGTGCCAAGAGGCCAACAAGTGGCCAATTCAAAAAACCAAAACAGTGGATGTGAAGAAAAGATCGGCACTAAACACAATAAATGTGAAGACAGTAACAACGGGCCAACTCTGGACTTTAATATGTTCCACTTGCCAAAGTTCTACCTATTCTTGTGCCCTGGGCAGTAACTATACCAAAATAAATGGCTACATGTGAGAAATAACATTGCACAGGGGAATATAAACTCAATATTCTGGATTACCAGCCACTCGAGGCCTTGTCCATAGTACCACTGAAAAAAAATAACTCGACCTGAACCAAAGGTGGACTGGCCTCAGAAGTTCTTTCTGACCAGTGTGCCCAGGCCTGGCACAGGCATTAACTAGATAGCAAATGTGACTATTTAACAAAACAAAACAAAAACACAAAGGAAATCTGAAGGAAGTCTGACAGTTTAGATGGCTGACCTGACTTTCATTGGGAGGCACACCTTTAGCTACAGATACTTCCCTACAGTATTCTTCTACCAAACAGTTTTATTAAAAACTGACCAATAATTAGACTTTCACCTTTAGGGCACTATATACACTTGTTTCACGATATGCTTCCACCCCTCACCCCGCCCCCCCCAACACACACCTTGGCAGCTCACAAAAAAATCTGACCAACCGCTCCTCAGGTGTGATGATCCTGTTGAACTTTGTAACTCAAATTCCATAAAAATAAGGCTGCACAGGTAACGCGCCATCTTTTTTAAAGTTCAAAATTCATTTGGATTGCCAGCAGAAATTTGCAGGTGGCCAGTTTCCTTTCCAGGGCCCCCGAACGCCTGTGCGTCTGCTTTCGGAAGCGGAGAACTCCTTCCTCCCCTGGTCGGCCTCCGTCCAGGTCAGACCCGAACTCCCGCAGGTGCCAGCGCTCACCACTGAGCCGCCGCCCCGCGCCAGGCCTCCCGGAGGCTCCAGGACGCGCCCATCACGGGAAGCCCCTCGGAGACCAGGTTTCCAGACGCTCCGCGCGTCCTCCCGCTGCCTCCTCCTCCTGCAGCATCCTCGCGCCGGGAGGAGAGGCGGGGGCGCGCGTCCCCTGCCCGGGGAGCCGGCACGGAGCCTGC